ACAGACCCAGGAGGATATTAAAAAGATTGAAGAACACTTTAAGAAAAGATAACAAACCAAAACCTAAGGGGTGATCCTGGGTGAATAACAGGGCCTCTCACCAAACACGGGGGCCAAAAGGAATAGGACAAGACACCTTGAAAACCTGGGCACAAAAGAGCTAAGTTTATCTGAGGTGAAGGCTCTAAGTCCTGCCTTATACGGTTAAACTGTCCTTAGATTTTTGTTTTGCTGGATTTTTGTTCCCTTCAGACTGAAGGGAAACCACTGGAGTTCAACGTCTTAGATCTAAGTACCGCAGTCATTGCAGGGAAACTGAGTCGCATACAGGGGAAAACTGAAGAAGCCGCTTTAGTTGGTGTTCAAACTGGGAAGCCACTATTACAACTTTATCAATGGTTTAGATGGAAATCATGGTCTAGCTGGTGATATCCGAGTTAGTTGTTCAGTTTATAATTAATTATAATGAACATCATCAATCTAACATCCCCAAGAACACCACAAGCTCTCCGTGAGTCAGTAAAGCTGTTCTCATGGCTTACTGCATCTATAACCATCGCACGCACTCAGCACAACTGTAAACACATAAGCCTACTGGCTTAGACTGAGGGGATCATAAACTGCAAAGCACTTCAGAGCTTTTGACAAAACAGATTATAATTTCTAAACCCCATAAACAGAAACAGATAGACTCTCTACATTCTCAGGGTGAAATAGCTTCCAGTGCCAAAATTTACACAGCCCATTACCAACAAGATGGGCAGATGCAAACTACTTCCTTGTGACCCATCACATAACCTTCGCTAGATCATCACTGTAACATTTACAAAGCTCATAAGCATTATATCAGTGAATTATGGCTTCATGCTACTTTCTCTAAGATTGCATGTGTCCTGGAGGGATGGGTCTTTGATTTTCAGGCTCCAGAAGTAGCCCTTACATTCCAGCACGGCAACCTGTTGGGGATTTATGGGCACTTCAGAGGTGTTTAATGAGGCTTATGCTGTAAACAATCTAAACAGCTCTTGTTCATGGAATCCCAAAGCTCATTCAGTAAAGCCAATGGGGCCTAAGACACCCTGAGAGAAATACTGAGTGAATAAAAATAATCAACCTGCCCTTCCCCTCTGTCCCCGCTTTGCTGGGGAATACAAGGCACACATATACACAGAATAAACAGTCCCTGTTTTCTTTGTTTCCTCAGTCTCATGGTGCATTCAGGCCAGGCAGTCAAGAGTCACTGATATACATCTGTAAGTTTTTAAACATAGAGATGGACTTTATTCTCTTTCATTTTTTTATCTAAAAATCTGATTTTCAAGAAAAAACAGTAGAGCGAAAAGAAGACATGAAAGCAACATTTTAAGATGGTATTTAATAGTATTATCTAATGAGATCCTGAAAGGCAAAAGTCCCACTCTTGGAAGGTATTTAAATGCCTAAATGTGTTTGAGCACCTGGACCCCAACAAAAGGGTTTATATTTGCAAAGGTAGGTGTTAGAGTATTGTAATTTAATAAACAGTGTTTCAAAGTCAGATGAGTTAGAGTTATACATACATGCAGCCTTGAATCTGACATATTTGCCATCTGGCACCTAACAGACATAATATTCTCAAACATTTGGGACAAGGTTTTCCTAAAATTAATAATTAGAATTAAATGCTTAGCTAGTTTATTCAGGAAGTTCTCTGCTTTAAAAACCAGATACCCACCCACAAGCTCCTGCAAAAGGAAATGAGGCATGAAGGAAAGAAACTTGTGTGTGATGCTCTCATTTACAACTGAGAGGAGCAGTGGCTTTCTCAGTTTCAGGGATCTGTGCTGTTACAGATGCTTATACAGATGCTTATTCAGATATACTCTACATTTAATATAAGCCTTCATGAGGTAAAGATTAATTTCATTTTCACACATGTTTGTGTGTAAAGCATGTGCCTCTGCAAACTTTTACAATCTAAACCGGAATATTTTGGAGGGTAATTCTTCCTTCACAGCAGGAGCAGTTCTGCTGTTTAGCAGATCTTTTTCAAGGTTAAATCTACAAATGTAATTGATCTACAAAGCCTCTTTTGTATCAAACAACTTTTTTTGAGCTGTAAATGCTTGAAGAGTGCTGCTGCTTATTGCTGTACCCTTCTTATACTGCCCTTTGCTGCTGGTGAAGTTGGGATCATGCTAACAAGGGACAACTACCCCGGAAAGAGGCAGGAGGCAGCAGATTCACTGGAGGAAGCACCGTTTTTTACTTCTGCTTCTTCCTAAACGTTACCAGCCATCCATGGCAGAGTCAGTCTCCTGGGATAGGAAACCCTTTGGCAGGACCCACTATGGTTGTTCTTCAGAGCAAGATACAAAGCTAGTTTTAACCCATCACTCCTGAAGACATTTAACTTCCTCACATTTTTATTTAGCTGGGTTTTAATTCTTCAGACTAATCCAGAAAAGAAAAAAACAGTTTTGCTACTCCCTCCTCTTTTCTTTTCTTTCTCATTTCTCCATTTTCTGTGTCTTGCAAATTTGTTTTGCTAAAGAAAATAATGGCTGTGATATTTAGGATGGTGTAGCCATGTCAATGGCACTGGCACAAAGAGCTTTGACTTTCCTGCTCCATGCTGTACTGTGCAGTACAGGTTAGGAAGCAAAATCATTCAGAAATTTGTCTCATAATATGTGTTTTGTCAGTAAATACTGAATGCAGAGCTAACAAGTACTTACGGCTTTGCTCCCATTACTTGACATGGTAATAAATACTTCACATTGGAATGACTTCCAGCCTATTTGAGTGTAGGTAGGCAGCAACAATTCAGCACTCTCACTTAAAAGATGAAATTAAGCTGTCAGAAATATTATCTCTGTGCCAAAAGTTACATGGAAGCTCACTGACAACAATCATCATTGTTGCTCTTCTCACTTGCCCTGTGCCAATGGGATTTTGCCTTCATTTTTGTACTTTGAGTTAAATAGCTGTCAAGTTTAACTTATTTGTAGAAACTAGTGTGGACAAATTAGTTCCTACCGATGTGCTAGTCATCTTCAGATTAATGGGAAATCCAGAGGTACCAGTCAGAAGCGTTAAGTAGTCTGAATGGGAGAGAAAACGCAATCCAGCAAAATCACAAAGCATCCTCAACTTCTGGATCTTGTGACCCATGCTTGAGAAAACAATAAATAGCCTGCTGCAATGGCCAGGGGAGGTGAGAAGCAGTGGTTCTGTGGTATAATGAATGGAGGAATTGTAAACACAGAGATGCCTGTCCTTGATGGAACAGAAATTTGGTGGAATACTTTGGGTAGTTTAAAATCACCACCTAAATTTTGATATTTCCTAAAATACTGCCATAATACAGATTTTTTTTCTCCCAGTACAATCTAACATTACAGATTTAGCTATCAAATATTAAGTAACAATCGTGTTTGGGGATGCAGAAGAAACCCTCCCCCTCTCCAAAGCTCTTTCTGCTCAACACACCTCAGAGTTATCCAGAAAATGAGGGAATACCTAATTTTCACCTTGGGTGAAAAGTTCTGGGTTGTCAAAAAGAAACAGAAATAAGTCTCTGGTACGTGTTGACATCAGAGGCATCACACAGTCCTTCCTCAGATGCTGTGCCTGGCAGGAGAAGGCTTTCCCCAGTGGGGAAGGCTCTGAGAGTTGAGTTCAGCTCAGTTCAGACACTTCAGGGTCCTGCTCTTGGCCGAGAAGTCAGAGAATCACTCTATTATATGTATTGTGTACACAGGCCTGACCTTTCACTTTTTATGTATTACACCCAGTACTATCTAAGTGGCTATTTACATCGTGCTGTCCTGCCAGAACAAACTTTCCCATCTAGATTCCAAACAAAAAGCTCAGCACGTCAGCATTGCTTCAAACTAACGTTTCTTTGAAAAGGCTTTCTTAGGGGAATGGGCTGTGTAAATATCTGGTTTGCCACTTCCCCATTTTGACTAGTGCTCAGAAGAGGTGCTGTGTCTGCCTAACTGCTCTAACTCTACCTTGCAATTACTGATAGCTTCATTCTTCTTTTGGTTCCCCAAACTGAGGCATGCTAAAGCAATTTGGATTTTTAAGTCATCAGAACTATCTCAAAATTATCTCTCTTCACATTAGGACAGAAATTTAGGCAGTATACTGCATTGTGTAAACCCACATTGTCCAAGAAAGAGCCAAAGCTGCTCTGGGCAAAATGAATGCTGTCCACCTTATCTGCAAAAAGGGTCAAGGCTTTTGAGGGGAAAAAACAGAGCGCAGTGCTAGGTCAGGGAAACAAGAAGACAACTGGATCTTCCTAACTCTGTGGAGGAACAAACAGTAAGGACTTCAGCTGAGACTGAACTTACTCTGTTTGCTTTTCACTCCTGTGCTTCACTAGAAATTTCTTTTTGGTCTGAGTGAGGCTGTAGCAGCCAATGGCCCCAGAAGAGGATGACCAGCTTCAAACTTATGTCATTTGGCCCCGGCCTTCTGGAGACCATGTGCCGACTGGTCCTGAGCTAGGAAACAGCATGATCGCAACAACCTTAGAATGACTCGTCACACTTGAAAACATGCCCCCATGAATTTTCAGGCATATAGTGAGAAGCATCAGCTGGAAGGCCTTTCCGCCCAGCAGGAGTCATATTTTACTTCAGCAATATCCATATCAAAAAATACTTATTCCAGTTTATTTCAGCAACAAACAGATACTGCCACTGCGATACAAAGTAATATATGCCCAATAGAGGTCCTATAAATAACATGAGGAAAGTGAAGAAAGCATTTAGCTAGAAAACTTTGAAGCCCCATTTTCTTGCTCCCACAGTGTATATAGGGTAACATTTTTTTGTGTACCCTTTTTTAGAACATTCACTACAGTGAGGCAGAATTTTGGAGGGTGGCAGAAACATATTTGTTTACTCTCATATACCATAAGATAGCAGCAATGCAAAAAACGACAAGCCAAGTAAATGACAAACTAGCATGGAAATAGAGACTGAAGCCACTGTCCCAATCCTTACCTTTAAGAGTTGCCTTCTTAAGTACCTTCATGGCATAAAGCTGACCTGCATCAGATCCTTTGATCTTCCTCACTAGAAATACCTGTAAAAAGCAGACGTCTTGTGTAGATGAGTACTGAACTTCCAGTTACAAGCCTTGCTGCATTTGACAGAGGAATAGATTCAGGAATTCTAACAAAAAGTATTAGCTGAAAGTACTTTGTATCTATTTCACCTGCAATTGGTTGAGCTAGCTCTGGAAAGCTTCATTTTTAAGCCTTTACTCCCTCACAAAGAAAATACGTTTAATGTTATTGATTAACTTACACATTCAATTAAAGATGGGTAATTAGTCATAATCAGTGTGTGCACAACTCTTCATATTCTGACCTGCTTTACACGGAAAAAAGTTATGCTGCATTTGTGCTTAGGAATGTGCAGTGCCTTAAAATTATCGCCATCAATTAAATTAAGGAGAAAAACCAATTTGGTTTAATTTATGCTGTAAGTCATGAATGGTGACTAGCCTAATATGCAACTGAAGCAAAAAGTTCATACAGCTGAAAATCTGGTTGTGCATACTTAACAAAAAGTAGGACTATTTTAATTAACAAATAGGTTGTTATTATAATAAAGACAGTTTTCCCTGTTACAGTTACCTATGTTACATCTTCTGACAGTGTAAATTTGTCAATGAAAGAAAATAAAATTGTAGCTAAATTTCTGATATTTTTTGTTTTACTCCATGCAACTATTTCTTACCTGCCCCTGAGTGCATCTCACTGGAGGGGGAGTGAACAAAGGAATCAGTAGTTTAGTTTGGTCTTTATAAGACTTTCAATGTTTTAATAATTGAAAATAAAGAAAGCTTTTAGCTGATTCCTAGGACTCACTCTGTCTGCTGAGGTCAGAAATACCAGGCAACAGTGTCTCTCTTTTATTTCAGCACTTTCGTTACTGGACAGAAGCAGGAAGTAAAGCCAAATACAAAAAGAAATAGAAGGCCATGTACATAGTTATAACAATATAAATTATCAAACGCTAGCTGAAATTATGTAACTAATGAACATCTAGTTGGATTACAAATATCTGTGGCAATTATTTTATTCTTTGCCTGTTCAGGAACCATGCAGCTTTCTTAACTGCCTCCACCCAAAATATAAAAAGCCAAAAAAAGAACGGAGGAAGTCTGTTTCTAGCACATTATTTGCAAGTTGAAAGACTCTTCCTCCAGCAAAAAATAATATCTGTAAGCAGATTATGATTTTCTGAAACACCCTTTGAGGAAAGGTTTGCGGGGAGAGAGAACAACTTTTAACAACCAGCTAGAGAAGCTCAGGGGAAAAAAAAAAAGAAAAAAGCTAAATTCTCTCTGAACGCCTTAACCAGCGCTCTTACATCTGTACAACATCACAGCTACAACACTTCTACAATACAATCTGACAGTTTTTTGGTGAGACTTTCCTTCTCAAGATGTTTCCTGTGCATATGAGATATGCACAGTTCCTCAGCTGAGCTGCCCTAACTAGCTGAGCTTGGGCACACGTTGCTTGTTCCCATCTCCTGTTTCCTAGTTCGATGAACATACAAATACCTCTGGTACTCACAACTGTAGGAACAAGTGATGAAATCTGGATGCAACAGGAACACATGAGACTTTCTGAAGTGTTTTTCATTAACATTCATGATAAATTAAGCTCATCTGCTCCAGCATTAACAGGAAATCAATTCATTTGGAAGTTCGGCTAGATAGAGAAATGTTGGGATATTTTTCTATCCAGACCAAGTAAAAGATTTAATTTTTGCATTACACTGAAAAGGAGGAGAAAGTCAAAAGCAAGCTTGCCCAAACACTAGATTTTCAGCTGTATTATTATTCTGTAAAATGGTTATGGAATCTTTATCCAAAAAAACAAAACCCCAAACCCTTAAAATAATGATTTTAAGCTGTACTGCACACAGAACAGCACAGCATGCTGCATCTGCAGAAATATTAGGCTGCAGTTCTAGAAATATCTTATCTGCCATGTAATCTTGCTAAGCTTGTAATACCCATATTGCTGTAATAAGGAAAATTATCAATTTACGTTACTAGCCACTAGACAGCTGTTCCCTGTAGCATGTGATAGGGCACTTGTCTGCATTCCCTCCAAAACAGATGAGTCAAGAACAGTGTGTGCAGTTTCAGAGGACATCAAAATAATCATCAAACCAAAAAGGAAACAGAACAAATGAAAACGCATTGTATTGCAAAATGATGTCATCCTTCTGATTATTCTTAAAGGTAAAGTCACATTGTTCTTGAAACCAAGTAGTCCTGCAGTGCTTACTTGACTGCTTATATTAGCCATACTATACTAGTTTGCCAGAATAGCACAGGCATGTGACTGAGCATGACTTTTGATTTTCTAGTTTGATATGCATGCAAACACCTCAGGTTATTAATACCTGAACTAGCAAAACTCCCCTAGCTAGAGCAATGGGTATATCACCCACATCCCAACCTAGAAAGCTAAGCAAGTGCTGTGACTTTCAAGAGCGTGAGAGCACTCCCTCCAACATCAAAGGCATCTTCTCTCATCCTGCAAGAAATTATTTAGGTCTCGGGTGAACAACTTGAAAAACAACCAGTCTGCGTCCCCAGAGACTTATGGATTTGAACCATTAGCTCAAATACCAAGGTGATGAAAATTTAGGTGGTTGGAGACCACATAAGAAACACAGAGAAGACTTCCCTCCCTTGTCTCTTTGCTTCTCAAGGGAGTTTACTGACCTGTTTCACATAAGATACAGAAAGCGATTTGTAATCACACACAGCTCCAAACAGCTATGATGTCCACACTCGCACTCTGATCGCCCAGTGAATTGGGTGGAGCATGTCCCAGAAATCAGATCTCCTTTTGGGAAGTGGTGGCAGAGACCAGGCATTTTGCTTATAAAATGCCTAAAGCTAGAAGGCCAACTCAGACAGTTAATAATGAAATACACCAGTACAATCTAAGATAGCCAGTGAACCATTTCTAAACTCTTTACTGCCTGAATCTGAAAACTGGTCATTCTGCCTCTCGTACTTTTGCAAAAGAGATTTTCTTCTCTTGTTCTTCTCCTTCTTGTATTGAGTCATACAGTAAATCTAATTTTGAGTTGTTTGACTTTTCACATTTCTTTAATATTTAGAACTCAAATATCATTACTGTGCTCTCAAGAAATTCTCTAGATCAAAACTCGGTAGTGAATGCTAATTTTCCTGATATCTCTCATCTCAGGAAACTGTTAAAACACTTGCTTATTAATATAATTCTGGAATAGTCAGGAAGCTGATAAATGCTCTCAATATAGTTTCTTCCAGGAATAAAACTAAAGGCCCTGATTGATTGTCAGGGTGCTCAGCTTTGTGCTGGGTATCTCAGCAACTTTTAGGTATAAGTCAGTTCTTCAAGTTAGCCAGAATGATCCATGATTGAATTGAAAGATGAGAGATATTTTTTTAAAACTCTACAAAATAATATACTTAAAATGAAAAGGACTTCCATGCCTGGTTTAAATTAAGCTCACCGTTCCACAGGTTTCAAAGTCTTATTTATTTAAACCATGGAAAGACTTTAAAACCTAACTGACCCCTCCCTCTTTCGTCTCCATCTTTCCTTCCTGTTCTCATTTCCATCTGACACATCCTGCTGAAGAAGAATTGTCTTTGGGGTTAAGAAAAGCCTTGGACTTAGGATAAAAATGTTGTGTCTCCACAAATTAGCTTGTAGTCATACAGGTAGGTTTTTTTCCCCCCATGGTCTCACCACCACGACTGCTCTCTTCAGCACTGGGGTTTGACTCCAGGATCCTCTCAGCAAAGCATACAAGCCTCTGAGTGTAAGCTAAAAAGCAGCCTGGGACTTTGAAATGTGCTTGAGATCCCATTTGGCCTCAGTGGGAATTGGGCAGCTGACTTGTTTCAGCCTTTGAATGTTCCTGTTTACATCCTCCAACTAAGCAGCAGTGGCACACTCACCTCCCTGGTGGGTGTGTCAGAAAGAGGGAGGGGGTGTCTAATTTTATAAACAGTGATGCTTACTGATGCTCACTTGTGCTCATTAGTCCAGGTCCAGAGCCATAAGCACTGTTTCCTAAATTGTTTTATATACATGAAACCAGCTAAAGGACAAAAGTGTTATTAAAATAAAGATAAGAAGGGGATTGGGCTTGCTTATCTGCCTTTACAATCTAATTTATATAGGGACTATCTTACCAGTGTAAATGAACTCAGAGAAGAGACATGACATTTTCAATGTTGCTGTCGGTGATTAGATGGCATTAAAAATTACCTTTCCATATGAACCTTGTCCTAACACTTTCAGCAGTTCAAACTGAGAAGGATCTGCTTTTTCAAAACCTTCCTTCACATGATGACTGATGTCTATTTCCTTCACGATACCTTCTTCCTGCAAAGGAAACAACAAAAAACAAAATCCCCAAATCAGAGCTGTTATCCTAAGGAAGCATACTATTTATTAAAATCTCATCTTCTGTGATGCTACAATCATATATGAAACTTTGAAAACAGAAACAAATGCTTGCCCAAATATTCCATGTGCCTGTTACTGGCTGAGGAGGGTAATGTCAGGACATCCAGCCTTGCTGCTTCTGTTTATTGAGCCTCAGGATATGACTAGGTAAAGACAGAATATGCAAGCTGAAACACAGAAATACACTGCAGAGCTTGGTGTGCCCATCACAGACCTTGCTAGCAGAGTGGCAGGTACTCAGATCTGTACTATAGAGGCTGCAGCGCACTTCCCTCCGTTCTCCCTCAAAGTATCATTTAAATCAATCTTAAAAAGCCCCCTTAGTCTTAAGCAAAAATTCTTATGAAGAGGCAATAAAGAAAAGGCATTGCTAAAAGTGGCTCTCCCTATTTACCTCAAAGAACGGAAAGTTACTACTGGCAACCTTCGAAACAGAAAACAAATTCATGATTGAGATGTGAAAACGGGGTGGTGATGGAAGGAAGAATGACACACACTTCTTTGCTTGCAGGAATTAGCTTTAAACACTTTGGATTTTCCAGGTTCTTTTGTTAAACTATTTCCATTGCACATTCTTCAAAGACACCAGTTGAACGAGGATTTTTATCTCACAAGCTGTGATGTATGGCATTTGGTTTACTTGTCTGTTTTATGTTGTTATGGCATGTTTCTCTGAAAAGAGAGCGACTGGGTCATGTGAAACCCAGAGGGACTGCACAGAGTTTGCAGCAACTCAGAAAGTCATTGGGCTGAAAAGAAACCTGGAAGAAAGGACCTGCTCTTCAAGGACATAATGGTGAGGGAAGATAATATTTACAAGCCTTTTTATTTCTGTAGTGTTTTGTACATCTAAATTTGAGCTTTTTTTTTCTATTCAAACTACTTGTTCTAACTTCTTTACAAATAAAATGTGGATTTTTGAGTACAAAACCTTTTTGTTGCATCTCCCAGGACTAAGGGAATTTCTTACTCAGGAATACGTTTGAATATTTTTGCACCCAACAGAAATAATTGGAATCTCATAAACAATATTTTTAAATGGATTTTTCCTGCAATTGTCCTTTTTCCCCCCCAAAAAAATCTTGATAAAACCTGGAAGTATAATATTTGTTTCCAATTCTTAAAAATTAATGTACTGCAAATAGAAATAATGTCCTAAAATGAAAATGCATTCACAGAAACATTTGGCCAAACCACATACATTTACTAAACAAGAATAAATTTGATTCCCTTCTGCTCCAGAAAAATTGCTATCACTTTCGACCAGCTGTAATTCATCTGATGCATGGCTAGCATTACCCAGATTGCTCTCTATACTGTGGCTCCATCCCTCCTCTTCCCTACCCTGCCTCTTTACACTCATGTGCTTTGGAACAGGGACTATATCCTCTTACTGGTTTGGAAAGCTTCCTCTACTTTGTGCATGCTACCAGAATCATGGAAAATAATCATCATCTGACAGCAGCTTGTTTTTCTGATCCTATTTCCTCTAGTTTAAGGTTTGCCTGAAAGGAAATGCTTGAAACCAATGACCAGTTTTCACAGAGAGATTTAAGGGTTTTCTAAGTACATAACTGCCAGAATCTTGTCCTTCTGGCTTCAGTTGCTGTGGGAGGCAGAGTATCTTTCTGATATTAAAAACATTCATTTTTTCAATTTTTTCTGTGACAGAAACAATAGTAAACTGATACAAATTTGATACACTGCATTAACTGTTTCCTGAGGAAACCAGGAATAACCTTCATGCTGTTATCAAAGGCTCCACCAAGTTCTGAAGCGATGAGTTTTCATCCTGAGGGACATGCATCTTTATATAAACTGCCTGCAGCTGAGAGACTCGCACCCTGGTAAGAACTTTATTTCGAGCTTAGCCCACCCTTCCACACTACAGCCTAGGTGTAGTATCTGGACTGCAGGGCTCCCCACCCACCTCGTTCAGCAGTTACTCACCAAGGCTAAAAGTGACTCCCCAGGGAGTCAGGCTCCTGCCCTGAATCACCCCTTACTCTCCACACCAGACCTTGGATGCTGGGCAGTTTGCTCTCCATGGAGCACAGGCAGAGTTTGGGAGGATTGGCTTCTGCAGGCCAGTCTCTGTGTGTGGATGCCCCCCTGACAACTATCATATGATGAAGAAACTGCATGACATTTTCTCAAGTCAGTGCAGCCTGAGGGCACCCAGTCACCACTTCATGATTTTGCCCATCTCCGTTTTGCACAGAAGCACAGCACAGCAAGGACCATGTGTTGGAACCAGGTGAAGCAGGAGGTGGATCCAAATTTTGCAATATATTCAGGAGGCAAAGCTCTGCAAAAAAGAGACTAACCCCAATTTTATGTACAGCAGGTATCTTCCTCAGATTTACTTCTCCTTTAAGCTGACACCTCGGTCTCAAAAACTGTGAGGAGATCTGCCACCTTAAGGGAACAGCAGAACACTTTTTAATTCAGTTAGATTGTATTGCAGGCTGAACCATGCAGTAATTTCAGCTACATTTGCAAGTTTAAATGATGAGTGATTTTCAGTTTATCCATTCATATTAGTCATCAAAGTCGCAGGCCTACAACCTTAAGCATATTTCTCGTTGTATTATTAAATTTAAAATAACCTCTTTAGGTTCATGAAGTGTGTTCAGTTACAGGAATATATTGGAAGTATTAAAGTGATGATAATTCAGCTTGCTGGAAGAATGCTTAAAAAATTGTAGCATTCCCAGAGAATAGCATAATTAATTCATAACTTGCAATAAAAACAACACTTTAATTACATGCATTTTTAATTAAAATCTCAGAAAAACATTGTTTAAAAAGAATGGGGCCAAATACAAGGCCTGGCAGCGTTCATCAGAGAAACATGGATTTTAAAGATGAAAAAACCCTGTTAGATTATGTGACTTCATAGATATATAAAAACGTTGGTTAGAAGGGGCTTCTGGGGGTTGTCTAGTCCAACACTCGTGCCCAAAATATCATCGACACTTGATCAGGCCAGCTGTTTTTTGTCTGCTGTGGTTCTCAGTGTCTCAAACAATGAGGCTTGGGCCACTTCCTATGAAAGCTTATTCTCTTTCAATTTGCCTAGCTCAGAAATGCCCACAGTCATGTCGAGCTGCCTGCTCCACAGGTCCTTAGGAGGAAGCAGGATATTTTTCTAGGAAGGTAGGATTTCCTGTGGATTTCCTGTGGTCTCCTCACTAGAAAGGAGCAGCAAAGCAGCACTGAAGAAAAGCATGCCAGGCAGCAATTTTTTCACTGATCATCACTACAGTGGCATTACTTGTGAGCTGTCTAAGAGGTAGGTAGTATTTTAGCTAGTATGACAAATCCACTTCCCACTGGAGTGAAAAGCCAAATTGTCAGTACTTGAGACTGAAGATGGACACAGCCCCTTAAAAGAGATATACGCTGATGTGTTTGCACACATGCATCCATTTCTCTTGCATGTATTTCTATATTCTTATTACTTAATTTTGCTGCATGAATTCTGGAATGACTTCTGTTTGTTTGCTTTATCTTACTAGAGGGGAAAAAAAAAAACCAATAGTTTTACAGTTCCCTTTTAATATTCTTTCTTACTTGGGATTTCCCCCTATCATTTATGTCTTTTGAAGTTTCCCTGTGTTAAACTAAGATGGAATGTGGCATAATTTTTCTCAGGTACTGATGATCGGAGTGAACCCAAAAAATCAGAGCACAAGCATTGTGGGCAGATGTCCCAAATATATTTGCTCTGAGTTGCATCTTAGGGACTTCTCTAACATGGATCTTTTTCACTGGTCCAGCAAGTGCATCCTATCTGCATTAGGAATTTGCATAACAACAATAAAATTGAGGCAAGCGATTCACAATAGAGATAAAGCCTGCACACTGAAGAAGCTGTTTTGATGGAGAGGATTTCACTCTGGAAGAAATCACGAGCCAACTTCCAAAATGGTTTTGATCAGTGAAGTTGGTGGAATCAAAAATGAATGTTCCACAGTTTGGTCTTGCAACAGCTGTGCACAGCAGCCCAGGCTCTTGCTCCCTGCTGACT